AAACTTCATTTTTTCGCAAATTTGGCCCAAAGGCCGTGAAGCCCAAAAATTTTGGCCCAATAAGTTTAAACTTGAATTTTTGGCCCTTTTTCAAATATATTTAACATAAACATACCTTTTTATACATGTAGGACCTGTTTTGCCCTTATAAAAACATAAATGCCACTTTTTACCTTTATCTTTTGTTTTCTTGACAATTTTGACCTTTAACAAGATTTTTGTTGAAATCCTTTGTATCTTAAACATGTAATCACTTTTGGTTTGTTAATATGATGTATATAATGTTTTAGTTCATAGATCTTTGCTACATAATACATAACATTTCGAGATTCACTAAGATCTAACACATTTTTACCAAATAAACTAAGAATTCACACAAAACATGCATATAACATATAGATCTACACATTTTACTTGCATTCTCCCCCAAAAATCATTTGAAAACCGAAAACAAGGGGGTATGAACTCACCTTTGCTTGATGTTCGGTTTTTGAAGAAGAAATGAAGAAGATTTTTGATCCTAGCAAGCTTCCTTGGGTGGATCTCGAACTTAAGAAGTTTTCTAGGAGTATGATCACCAAAAGCTTGTTTAGAAGGAGTGATCTAACATGAGAAAGAAGTTATGTAATTTGGATATGTAAAGACTTACCAAGAATAATGATTTTTGGTGGTGGAAACCTTCTTGAAGATGCTCTAGATCTCGAAAATTAGAGAGGAAAGGAGGAGTGTTCTTGTCAATGTTGGAGAGAAATTTGCAATTGGAGTGTGTGTGTGTGTGTGTGTGTGTCTATCCTCAGCCGAGAGTAGAAGAAGAGAGGGGAGAGAGAGAGAGGTGAGGTGACTAGCATGGATATATGGTGGTTTTAAGCCTTGATGCATGTTGGATATTATGGAGGTGGCATCTCCAAGTCAACCCTCCCCCCCCCCCATTACACTTCTTTTCTCTTTATTTTTTTTACACATGGGCCGAGATTTTGGGCCAGGAAGAAAGGGTGGAGTAGATTGTGCCCATTAACTGTAGCTAGGATATTTGGATCCTAAACATAAAAATTTTCGGCCCATTGGGCTCTTGGAAGCATTCACGGCCAAATTAGAATAAAAGAATAGGCTTATGGCTCACTAAGGTTAATTGGATTAGTTATGGCCCAATACGGCCCATTAGGGTTAGAGTGAATCATTCTAGGCCCAAATGGTCCAAAATGTTTTAGATTTATGAATTTGGGTCCAATTAGGATCCAATTAGGGCTTTTAAGTCCAATAAAGTTGAATTGGGTGCTTATTGGTCCATTAGGCCCAATAAGGAACTCCTAGTCCAATATGGACTTAAACCATGGATCTTAGGGCTTCAGACTCATTAATGAACATGAATGGTGAATCTAAATGAGTATTGAGTGAGATTTATATAGAGTATATGTTTTACAATAGTTGAATGGTTACACAGGAATAGAATATCCTTGCTCAAATGCCAGTTGTAACAGCCTTATTGGTACCGCAGTATACAGCAGATGAGGAAATAAAGAAGGAAAGGTATCATGATATGCTGTGGGATGACATCAGGGAGTTTGTGAGTATTTCAGGTTGTGAGACCCTGAATGATATGGTTTCTAGATCCCGAGAGTGGGAGATTGATTTGGAGCACCTCGGGAAGAGGGGATCAGATCAGGTGCATACAGTGTAGGGTCCCGGGAAGATACCCAAGACTTCTGATCAATGTTTGAGAAGCCAGCACGGCCAGGGTCAGTGCAGTACGTGCAGGAAACCGCACGATGGAGTTTTTCGTTCCAGGGGTTTGGGCTGCTACAAGTGTGGTAGGATTGATCACGTCAGTTGGGATTGTCCTCAGGGGGAAAGCCTGTTATGTTTTCACTGCAATCAGGTCGGCCACAATAAGGTCGACTGTCCACTGTTGAGGGGAGGAGCAGTGAGTGCGCCTGCTCCAGCTACTTTGAGGATCACCGATGAACGAGAGAGTAGGGTAGGAGCCCCAACGGAGAGAAGTCAGGCTTTGCAGTGTCAGACATGGGAGGTCAAGAATCCAGCAAGACACGTTGCGGGTATGTTATCTTTCGTTTTCTTCGGTTTTTATCAATATTTATGTTGTTAGAATCTTGCATCAGTTTGGGTAAGCGTATCTTTGGTTTATATATTGGCTTATGTTTGGGTTATATTTTCCAGAATTGTTATATGTCATTTGCATGCCATGAATCATTAGTGGGTTGGTAAGGCGTTGTATCTTGTGAAGCGGGTTCCCAGCGTTCAGTTGTTATTCGAGTTTTGGTCGAGATCGATTCAGGGGTATTGTGTGGAAGGTCTATGGTCAGAATTCTGAGGGTTAGTTCTCCAGTATTGTCAGGGTTCAATGGTTTTAGCAATTGTGCTTGGTTCGCTCTTGGGAGTGCCAAGGAAAGTAGTCTATTGCTGAGGTTTTGGTTGGTGTTAAAAGCGTCTAGAGATATCAGTTTTGCTAGGACTTTGGAAAGTGTTCGTCTGGTCTTCAGGGGTTGTGTGGTTTATATTTATAATCAAGTTTTCTAGTCAATCATGAATCAGACATACATTTAAATAAACATAACCATATCCAAGTACAAGTAAGCATTGCTTCAATCTTATGTGTTTTTTCGGTGAGCCATCACACGGAAAAACAAGGTCATTTTGGAGAAACAACCACAATGATGCATGACTCCTACTTGATTCTCAATGGACACTTCATGCTCGATCGATATGTCACTAAGACTCCAATCTCCATAGTATTTGTTTGATTGACTTTGGTGTTAATTTGCTTACAAATAGTAACTCAGTACTTTTCTTATCTAATCAATCACTATTGAAAGTATGAGATCGAAAGGGTAAATTACAAGGAAATTGAAAACACAACCTAAGCACTCATGTAATTATTAAAACAATATTTTGATAAGGACTGTGACAAAAACAGTAAATAAAATCATCATTGTTTATATGTTACAATGTCAACAACGTAACTTTAAAAACAAATATATAAACATTGGAAATGTTTTATTGCATGTCTTTGTGGCAGTATATCATCCAATAACAAAAAATCATAAAATCAAAATAAAAGGAAATTAACAAATTCAAACATTTAAATTATAGAAGATTGATTTTGGAAAAAAAAAAACTGTGTTGTTGCTCGAAATTAAATAAAAAAAAACTCAAGGTTGATTTTAGCGAAACAATGTGTTGTTCGAAATTATTTAAAAAAAAAAAAAGAAAAAAAACTCTTTTTGTTGTTCGAAAAATTAGGGTGTAAAAAATAATAATAAAAAAAATGATGTGTATATTTATACACATAAAATTCTCACATGTCTTACAAAACCATACACCATCAAGAAAGCGAAACTCGATTTCTAATGTTAATAATTTCGAAAAAATGGTTCTTATAACACTTTTGGATCTTGATGTTTGTTTACAATAACATACATTGAATAACCGATGGAAGAAAATAAAGATCAAACACTATGATCCAAGCGAATAAATATTGTTCTACATTAAAAACAACTAATTTAACCTACAAGAACTATTTTAGGTCGCCTAGCTAGTTATGGAAGCTAGTGGAGATAGGGGTCTTAAGCAGAACCCAACACACAGTAACGCACCCATAAACAAACAACCAAGCAAGAACAATTCCTGGTGAAACCCTAATCAAAACCGGCCAGCTCCAAACTTATTAAAAAATATATGTTGGTTTAGACAAAGTTCTCAAAATCGCGATCTTGATCGTAGGATCATATGATCTTTTGATCCTAGGCATGAAAAACAAGTCCTCGTATACAGATCGTATCTGGGATACGTTCGCAATTAATATCGTAGGATCGGGATCCGATCCAATCCCACCCTCCTTTGGATTTTTTTTTAAATATTAGAAATAATTAAAAATAAAAAAAGTAAAATAAAAAATTGGATTTTTTTAAAAAAAAATTGGACTTACCACCCTCCTTTGTATTTTCACTCATATTTTATAGTTTTTATAATTTTATAAAAGAAAAAACAACATTAGAGGTATTTTTCATTTTTTAATATTATAAGTTAAAATTATGTTTTTTATGGGATTTCGATCCGATCCCGGTCTTGTAAACCTAAAAATGATCGAACAATCTTGGTGGACTCCTTACACTGTAGGTTAAGTTATGTTTTTAATGTATTAATTATTGATCTAAAAAAATTCTTGAAAAAATATCATTCGCTTGGATCATACGGACTCCTTACATTGATTGGATCATAATGAAATTTTTTAGAGCAATTAGTTAAATAGCCTCAACAGCGATTATACCGAAGAGAAGGCTACATAAGGAAATGGCATGCCAAAAATTCCAATCTAGTATACGTCCTTCAAATTCGTTAATATTCCATGTACAAGAACGCAAAAGAATAGCCTCCACTAAGGAGATCCTCGGTTTGTTACTTTGTTATCATTGAACACCACCTCGTTTCTTAGTGTTGCCCTAAACTCTTATAGAGTAAAATCTCAATTAGTGAGTTTTGGTTTATTTCGTGGAATAAACATGGGTAATAGAATGTAGTCATAATATATATGCATGATCATTAAAAAGTTGTTATTCGATTTATTAATATCCCTATGTGTGTGGATATCTTTCCCAGGTTTTGCTTGCTTTAACTTAAGGAAATCATTTTGAAAAAATTGTATCAATTTAATAGAAAGATAACTACCCTGGAAAAGGCCTTCCAAATTCCAATAACACGCAACAAACATAAAATGGAAAGCACAATTGCAGAACACTTTACGACATTAAGAAAAGCTAAAAGAAACAACACATAAACCACCCACGGCAAAAAGTACGTAATTCCAAATTTACTCATCTTAGATGAAGTTTCTCTGATCTTGTTGTCCATAAAAAATAATATATCTTCTCCTATCTATCTTCAACCTTTAAGTGCTAGAATCCATGGTAGTTTCAGTGAACCTAAATTTAGATTTTCAACATCCTGATTTGCATAAATAAAGATTCCACATAGTCGTTTCTGGATTAGGGTTTCCAAGCTGAAGCCCAGACAACTGATTCATCTTTCCAAGCCAAATAGACGCCAGAGTCTGTATTGGGATTGGTTTGATCGTGTACAAGAGACCATCCAGTTCGATACCTTCTAAGCAACGCCTTTACATCGTCCACCACGTCATCACTAAACCCTACAATGGAAAAAACCTCCTTCAGCCTCTCACACCATTGGTTTCCTTTCTCCCTCCTCTCGCAATCTCCTGAGCCAATATTCTGTTTGTCATCACAAGACAAAACCCTAATGATGCTTCTCGAGCACTCTCTCTCTAACATCAACCTCTCATTGCTCGTGGGAGTAAAGCTATCTTCCAACATCTCAAAGTACAAAGTGTAGTACCTCAAACAGTCTTCAAAGCACTTCACAAAGTCGCTTCTAGAACTAGTAAAATCGGCTTCTTCTTCTACTATGGTCACCACACGAGGCTTTAAAGAGCTGAATAGCCGAATCACGTCACCTCTTTCTTCTACCTCAACTCTTTTTAAAGCCCCTATACAATTCACTGCTACAGCTTCGTCTTCCTTGACACCTAACTCTTCCTTGGTAAGATCCCCTAATGGCATATTTGATCCATTGATTACCTTAATCTCGAAAGGAACACCCATCAAGCGAGCAAATTTCTCCATTCTTTGAGTGATCTCTTTCATTACTGAACTCACGAGGCTGGCTGTCACAACCACAGTCAGCTTTAGGCTAGGAGTTTCATCGCTCCGAGTGGCTAAAGCTTCAAGCAAAGTAGGCCATTGGGTGCAAAGCGTGTTGCTTATATCAATTATATGAAGTTTGGTCTCACCGTCAAAAGCCTCCAAAATAGCACCATTAGATGCAACATGGCCGAACGTAGTCCAAGGGGAAACCTCTTGGAATTTAAGGATGAGTTTTCTGGCAGAATCAAAACAGTGGCTCTTGTCGGCAACTGACACCAAGGTCTTGTAGCATCTTTGCCCAGACTCCGTTGCTTTGCAAAAGAGAGCTTGCAAGAAGTAATAAGCGAGTTTCTGATCACAGTCGCCATAGGGCGATGATAGCTCGTTTAACATCCATAGAAGGTGGTTGATCTTCGCAGAGTCCTTTTCAGAGATGGCTAGAGCACACTGTCGTAGAAGTCTGGAAGCCCACTTATCCTCGTCTGGACAAGTCTCGCCACCACCAGAGTCCGTGTATGTGTGGATGCTTTGTTCTTTGCTTGTTGTTTGGTGGTTGGTGTAGGGAGAGAGGTGTGTTCTCTCCATTAGAAAAGAGTTGTATATGAATGATGAGTTGTATATCTTGCAGGATATCAACACTTTTCATTGCTACGACTTGGCCGTCTCCTAGACATACTAGTGCTTCAAAAGTTTGGTGGGTGTTTAGAATTATATACTGAGTATTTGTTTTTTTGTCTATATTTTTAAAGACATTTCATAAACGGGCTTTTGTCCAAATTGATTTTAACGAATCCTTTGAACCACAAAATCTTGTATTTAAGACTTGTTCTTACCCTTAACATTATATATAACTTTTTAAATAATTTGTAGGTGCCTATTTGCCTTCGTCAATGGGGCCGATTCCTTTTTAGTTGTTATGTGACAACATCACTTCAACAAATACAAGCTTTAATTATGCATGTCACATCCCTGATATATAATATAGTAGATAATAAATTTAATACAATCTTGAATCAATTATCTTTTTTTAATATCTTTGAAAAGTCGAATATTAATTACTATATTGTTTTGATGTGTTATGTTTGTGTTGGTAGTCCGTGGAGTATTAGAGGGTATAAAGGAACAAATGTCTAAAGTTCATTTCAATCATGATTTTTTATATTTGATGTTTTTGGGAACATCGCGATTTACCGCCATATGTTTAGCATGAAATCATACATAAATGTCCACAACCAAAAGTGTTGGTACTCACAGTTTTTCGGAAAAAAATGGAATTAATTAAGTTAAAACTTGATTAATAGAGGTTAAAGCTTTAACAAAAAGCATTAAGGTTTTTTTTTTAAAACAGCAAATATCATTAGAAAGACACTAACACGTAGCAAGAAACTAACAACTTAGGCAAAAATACATGCAAGAAGGGAAAAAATGTAGAAAATACAATTAAAGATGATCAAAAAGTGAACAACACCAATTAGCCTCCGATCAGCAACTTGTATATCTCCTATGTTTAACTCACGAATGAGATATGGTTATAATTATGTCCGCTCCTTTTGTTGTATAACATCATATTTTTTTTAAAAAACCACATCATTTCTGGCAAGACATACACCCCAAATAAGACATAAGCATATAGGGTTTTGAATCGCACTTTTACATGGACAGTTGTCATAGGAGGCCGTGAAGTCAATGAACTCGAGTGTACTGGCGAATTGGATTGGTTGCAAACCACACCATTTGAAAATTTATTCTTGCACATTCTTTGTGAACTCGCAGTTAGAAAAAATATGGTTCGATGTCTCCGGTTCCTTATCACATGGATTAGCAATAGGGATTGTTCACTTTGATTCATCTAGCCGCCAATGTATCAGCCACGGGTATTCTATTCAACAACGCTCGCCACACGAAACATCTTACCTTTAAAGGAACAAATTTAGACCAATAAATCACCAGACATGTGTATAAGTTCATTTTAGAGTCAATTAACTTCATCATGGAATTGACAGTATATCTACCATCTGGATTTATTGTGAACCGAAGGTCGAAATTATTGGTGGTAGGAAACTCCATGTTGTCTGTGGCCAAGTAAAGTTGTAACAGCTTCGTGAAAGCAACCTCATTTCTCGGATCCTGTTTTCAATGCCATGAGAATCCATTAGCATAATTCTTTCCTCAACCAAGCAGCATTTCCTTTCTTTAAGACTATAGAGAGTTGGGAATCGAGCTTGGAAAGTGATATTTCCACACTAAATATCTTTCTAAAAGAGTATGTTAATTCTAGGGCGTGGAAATAGTTTGAAACAATCATTGTGATTGATGGCAACGGTGTATAGGTTATTTATAGCCTTGTAAATGTTACATCAGACTCATTTTGAAGATTTTCGAGCTATATATGATATTTGTTTGCTCCTTAGGTTAGGTATGCTCACGATTACTTTTTTCCACAAACAATTGTCACCATTGTATAATCTCCACCACCATTTCGTTAATAGAGCTATGTTTTGTAGCTTAAGAGTTCTTACACCAAGACACCCATGTTTTTTGTCAGCAATCACCTTTTGCCAATCCACCAAATGAATTTTCACATTCTGATCATCTCCACCCCAAAGGAAACAACGTCTGATTTTTTTCAAGAGAATCAAGAACTCCTTATGGTGCTTTGAATAATGACAAGAAATGTGTGGGAAGGCTAACAATAACATATTTAATCAAGGTGAGCCTTCCGCCAAATGATAGTGTGCTTGCCTTCTAAACTGATAACTTAGATTTGAACTTGTCGACGATAGCTTTCAGTGCTTTTTGAGGTTCATATTAGCTCCTACCGGCACACGAAGATATATGAAGGGAGGTTTGCTTCACAACATTCAAGAATAGAAGACATATGATGTAGATCACTAAATGGAATATCAACTCCGAACAATCGCGATTTCAGAAAGTTCACTTTGAATCTAGAAACAATACGAAAACATTTCAGAATATGGGATAGGTTTTTGATGTTGTTGGCACTCCATTCACCTACAAAAATCGTATCGTTAGCATAGAAAAAATGTGAAATGAAAGGACCATCATATTTGGAAGTTTAATTCCACAAAATAGTGAGTTATTGCATGCACTTTTGACAGCCACATTCAATCCCTCCATAGCCAAGATGAAGAGAAACAGATACAAGGGGTCACCCTACCGAACACCTTTAGATATTTGAAATTCCTTAGTTAGCAAACCATTTACTAATACTGATGCCCTAGATGAAGAAAGACATCCTCAGATCCAAAACCTCCATTTTTGCCCAAATCCCATTTGCTCCATTGTCGAATCCAAGTAGTTCCAGTTAAATGAGTCAAATACTTTCTCGAAATCTACTTTAAATAGAAAGATCTTATTTTTAGAATTCTTGGCCAAGGAAAAAATCTCGTTCATAACAAGTGGCTCGTCAAGAATAAATCTCCCTTCTATATAAGTCGATTGTACTTCATCCACCACCATTCCAATCACCTTCTTAAGCCTATTGTCAAGAATCTTGGATACAATTGTGTACATTGTGACAACCCGGAAACTTCAATCTTGTACAATTAATCAATTCAATCATTATTCAACTTGTTTTGTCAATTTCTGGTGCTATTTAAGGGTTCATTTAAGTGTTCTAAGCTTAAACTTGACCAAGGTTGAGATTAGGAATGAGTCATCATGCCATATAGTGAGGAAACCGGGCCATACACGCCTCTTGGAGGAGTGTACGGCCGTAGACATGGGTGTGCGGCCGCACACCCACTCCCTTGGCAGCACACTCACTTTTGGGCAGCACCCTTACCCCTATATAAAGGGTAGCCTCCTTCCTTTCATTCCTTTAGCACCTAGGCAACACACAACTCTATTCTCTCAAGTTTCTCCAACTTTGAACCTTCCAAAGCTTCAAGAACGTGAGTACTTCTTCCCCTAGCTTTCAATTCATGAAAGACCCCTCTATCTAGGCCTTAAGTGTGCAAAAATGGACATGTTCTTCGTGTTGGAAGTGAATGCGGCCGCACACCCTCTTAAGGTGGCCGCACACCCTTAAAACACCCTCCAAAGTGAGAGTTTGACTTCCATATTCGAGATAGACATGCCCCTAGCCTTGATGTACCTTGAGAATGACATTTTGGACATTTTTGGTGTGGAGTGTACGACCGCACACACCTGTGTACGGCCGCACACACACTTGCGTGGCAGCACACCCAAGTGTGCGGCCACATACCCAAGTGTGCGACCGCACACTCATTCTAGGACCATAAACCCACTTCTAAGACCCTAAACTTGTACTACAACTAAGTTTGGACCAAGAACACTTCCTGGATTGCAAGTATGGACCTTGAAACGCCCCAAGAACACCTTGTTGGATATAGTGTCTAAGTCCATAACTATATTTGGTATGTACTTGACCCGACCCGACATGGTCCATTTGGGTTGCACTTCACCCGAATAATTTATGGATAATCGTTTGAGAATAGTATAAGTTATGATTTATTAATATATTATAAGTCCTAATATATTAATATAAAATCATATTATTTAATTAGTATTGATCTATAATTAATTTAGAATTAATTTAGAGATCAAAAGTATGACTAATTAAATATGGGCTCTTGTATTTATATAGTGTGGGCTAATGCTTATTTGGAATGGGCTAGGCTTGCATGGAAAGTCCATGGATACTCCATGGAGCTTTAACCCATGGATCTCATGGAAATGAAAAGACATGGGTATTAGGGTTTACATGGATGTAACCCTAATCCACCACACTATATAAATGAGGCTTTGGTTCTTGAAATTGCACTAGTTGTGTGTGTGTAAACTAAGAGGGTCGATTTCAAGAAGTTGGGACTATTTCTCTCAAGTTTCCAAGTTTGTGGTGATTTGTGACTTCCATTTGAGGCATCCACATTATTGGTGCAAGGCTCTCAAACTCCAAGCAATCAACTACTACTACAAGGTAAGTAATTCTACTAGTTTTATTTGATTCAAGTACCCCATGCCATGGTAGTTAGGATAAGAACCTTGGAAAAATAATTATTTGCATGTATCTTAGTCAAACATAGATCCAAGGTTTCTAGGGTTGCATGTACACCATAGGAGTGTTAGAATGCTGAAAACCCATCAGTGGTATCAGAGCCGGGTTTGTTTATTTGATACTTGATGCAAAAAAAAAAAAAAAAAAAAAAACTTGAAAATCGAAGTTTTGTTCAAAAGCTCGTATCAAAATTTCAAGTTTTGTATATGTACTTACGATTCTTGAAATTTTTTAATATGAACATTCATAAACATATGAGTTTAGAAGATCATAGAAATTATGTGCTAATAATTGATTAGATTAATTCTTGATCTTTATGTGTTTTAATGGAGTCCATAACTAGTTCTTAAGTTATGGATAACCAAAAGTCACATTTATAATAACCATTAAAAGAACACATAGGTTACAAAAAATGAAGAGTCCTTCATTTTTAATAACCATTAACTCATAAGTTATGAGAAATGAAAAGTTTTGAAAGTTTACAAAACTTGCCCTCAAGTTTTTGAACATGTAAAGTCATATTAAAAACTTTAGTTCCAACCCC